CCCAGAAAAACAGAAATTCCAAAATTCCAAAATTCCTAGCTAGCCTGCCGATGAAAAGGTCCGAAAAAGAAAATCAAAATTCCGAAGGCCGTATGGCTCCGACCAAGATTCAAAAAGAAAATTCAAGAAGGAAATTCTAAAAGAGACACCGAAATTCCCGCGCGATGTCTGCGCGCCCTAAAGTTCGACAAAACAAAATTAAAAGAAGGGAAACGAAAGAAAAGAAGCGACGTCAATGTTTATTAATCGCGCACTCGGCGCGCACTCCGCATCCATCCGACCAAGTTTTACCCCCTTTTCCCCGTGCATTCCCGAATTGTCCCCAATTGTCATCAGGGGCTCGTGCACGAACGAAGAAACAACGAAGAAATCAAGGACACACATGCAATTTTCCATCAACCCGTCCAATCGACGTGGGACCCCGCTTAGCACTTCGCGCAGAAAGTCGTGCATTACAGAAGCTAGTTCGTCACATATGTGACGCCCAGGGGGTTCCAAAGATAAGCAAGCTCCTGCTTGCTAGCTGACGTGTCGATCATCTTCGATTGATTGGCCGTGGATGGTTGATTTTCTTTTCTGCCGCATACCGTGCGAACGAGTGTGGAAGTCATGCTGCGCGGCAGTCGTATCCTGGTCGTCGTCACTCGTGGGGAAGAGGAAAAGGAAGACGATAGGCAGGCGGAGGTGTTGATGGGGGATGAGTTGGGATAGGCGGGAAGAAACGTTCCAGCTCATTGTCCGTTTCCGGAAGGCTCCGATGATGGACGATTCTATGGAAGCGGGGAAATCAGCGGCCAGTAGTGGGGAGAGAAGCGAGGTAGTCGGGATAGAGAGTGGTGAAGGTTCTAAGAAGCGCCGCGTGAAAGCGATTGCGGTCGGCGCATGTGGGGATTAACCCCGTGATGAGGTAATAAACCTCTACAGCGTTGATACGACGCCATCCTACGCTAAAAAGAAGTACATGGAGAGGGAACTCAGGGGAAGCACGCCGGGAGGATGAGTGGGGATGGACTGTGACAGAGAGACGAATGGAGAAGTAATGACGGAAGTGTCGCGGGGGAAGGGATTGTGGGGGAAGACGGCGGAACGGGTGAGCTGGCGCAGGGTGAGGAAGTCATGGGGTCGGAGAGAGAGAGCCCGGGGACGAAGACCGATGGGCCTCATCTCGACGTGCTCGAAGTGCGGGACGGGCCGCGAGGGAGAGGGAGGCGGAGGGGGAGCGGCTTCGTCGTCGGTGTCGCGGTGGGGAAGGAGGCCGGCGAACGGACGGCCCAACCATCTGGGCCACATCGCCGTCGCCTGGCTGAGGTGGCTCCGGGTCGAGCGTTGGATCGTTGCTGATCGGAAGATCAGCAACCGGCGCAATTTCTAGCTGGGGATCCTCGTCGGCGTGCTCCTCGTCGTTGTCGTCACCGCTCCCTTGCTCGCTGTCTTCTTCTTCTGCTTCCTCTTCGTTCTCCGTTTTCAGGAGCTCGTCTTCTTTTCCTTTTTGCTGCTGTGCTGGCTCCCCTTCGTCTTTGTTCGGATTCTCCTCCTCTTCCTCCAAACTTTCTTCCGTGAGCTCCTCGTGGATGATCTCCTCCAATTCGTCCCCGTACGGCGGTCTGTAGAACGCGGGATCTACGATGTCGCGCGGATCCAAATAATCCAACCGTGAAGGCGGAATTCTCGATGGGAAGCCCTCCACGCAAGCTGACCACTGAAGATACTGCGACGGCGTGCGCGAGGTGACGTGGGGCACCAAGCGCGGGTCGACCTGGGAGACAATGCTGACGTCAAGATCGTCGGCCAGCTGCGCAATCGGGACCGTAAGCTCCTGGGTGAGGAGCCTCCGACAGCCTGGATGAGCTGACCCGAATAGAAAACCGAGAAGGTCCCCCTCTACTTCCATCCGCCACGCCTGAATCAAAAGGAGCTCCAATCGCTCAGACCGCGGGTAATTTCTCTCGTCCCTCGTACACACCACCCGTACTTCCACCAAACACAGTGAGAGTTCGATGAAGTCTCTGCGCCACGCGTCCCACAGAGAGGGATCGAGGAGGGGAACAACCAGAGGATTTATGCAGAAGGAGAGGCGGGGATGAAGATCAGATTGCCAAAAGGTGGGGAAGGAAGAAGGAAGCTCAAAAGTAGAGATCGGGAAGGAGCTCATCAGGGATGGAAGGGGATGAGAGGGGGTAATTGCGTCGGCGGGTCACGCCGATCCAGCCGAAGGCCATTGTATTTGATCGCTCGGATTGGTGTGATCACGTCCCCTTGGTGCGCCAGGAGCTGGGTCCACTCGTTCTGAAGATTGTGCACCCACAGCAGCAACGCCACCTTGATTCTCGTGTGTCGGCAGGGGGGGATCGCCGTGAGATCTCCACTGAAATTAACTACCACCGTTATCCGGCCGACGCCCGCAGATGCTCGCTGCCGCAACCCGACAGTTTCGGCCAATATGATCGCGTCAGCCCTCCCGTCGACGTGGATCTCTGCTGCCGCGTAGACGCCCCTCGAGCAGAAGAATTGCCCAAGCCGCTGAAGGTCCGAACTAAGACGAGGATGATGTACCTGCCGCAGTGTCAAATTCCCACGTGCTACCAACGCTTCTTCACTTAGAGCTCTCTCCTCCATAAAGCTCATGGCGACGGCGAGGGTGACGGCGTATCCGACAGAGGTTGAGAAGGAGAAGGAGATGCAGAGGAGGTAGAGTCGTCGTCGGGAGAGATTGATGGAGAAGGAGACGGAACAGAGGGAAGAAGACGGAGATAGGACACGTGGCGTGTGATCGGGCGAGCCGATCGACTGCCGGAAACCTCGGGAGCGAGGCGCACGGTGTCCACGCCGTTGGGTCCGAGTTCAATCACTCGATACTGTCCGAAGAATCATGGCGCTAGTTTACCCTGGCGCGCACATTTCCTTACCTGCACGATGTCCCCTAACTTATACTGGGTCCTGGGACCCGCATTCCTGTTCCGGGCCTCGTAACTTCGGACGTGTCGGCCATGGGCCAATTCGGTGGACCGTTGTCACTTCCGGGCCAGTCTAGGTAGGGACCGCTCCATAAGTTCCAGGTGCCTTTTGGCTTTGTCCCGAGCGGTGGCCCTTGTGGGGCGTCGGTTGAGACCTGGTTCGTCGGGGAGGCTCGGTATCGACACACACGCGACACTATTGGTCCGCAACTGGAAGGGGCTTAGGCCCATCGATTCGTGGGGCGTTCCGCGATGGATCGCCAAGATGTGGTCGACAATATCAGGCCAGGGTCGGGGGTCACGTGCCGCAATATTCCGCCACAAGGTCGTTTTTATCACCCTATTCGCGTTTTCCACTAATCCGTTAGACTGGGACATGTGCGGGGCCGTGTGCCGTATGGAGACGCCGTGTATAACCAGGTTCCTCTCGACTTCTCCTCTAAATTCGACCCCATTGTCGGTCAGGATCTCTTCGGTGTCCTGGTGCATGCCTAGAAAATGGTTGACGTACCGCGCGATTTCCGCGGCTTGTCGTGTCTTGCAGGGGTAGGCCTCGATCCATTTAGAAAAAAAGTCGACGAAAACCAGCAGAATTGAACAGTCGCAACTATTCGGTCCGGGGGGCACCACTATATCAGTAGTATCCATACTAACCCTCTGAAACAGCCGTTCAACCACCGTTGGGACTATCGACCTAAGCGGTTGGGTTGGGGCCTTGTCAGCAGCGCAGACCTGGCAGTGTTGGACGATGAATTTAACGTCGTCCCGGATATTGGACCAGTACCATTGATTTCTGTCAATCGCAGCTTCGGTAATACGCACGGCAAAATGCGCCACCGTCTCCTCGTGGGCTGTCCGTACCCAGTCGTACCGCATAAATGGGTGCGGAACTACTAACCATGCCCCACTGCCGTCTGTTTTATGCTTTTTTAACCGTCCGTCCACCCATCGGTAATCCCGTGCTCTTTCATTGGCCCTCCTCCGATCCTCCTTGGAGAAGGTTTCGAGGGAGTTCCCTACCACAGTGGCTATCAAGGCGACATCTGTCCAGACTTCCGCTCTTCTAAATTTCTGAATTTTGTCAGGGCCTTCCGACGTGGCATCGAGGAATCGGGTTTCCGTCGGAATCTTGTCAGTGCGACATAAGGGACAGAACCAGGGCTTATCACTACTCTGATACTGTATGCACGCACCATGAGCACGTGCGACACATTTCCGACAGTCAACCCATTCAACATATCCCCTCCCTTTATGACACATGTGGACGGAATAGACTCGAGAGATTGCCTCGCAGAAATAGCAAAATTTGTCAGGAAGGGAGGCGAAAGAAGAGGATGGGGAAGAAAGAGAGGGAATTTGGACATTACCTCCGTCACCCATTGCCCTTCACCGGCTTCTTGCCACGTGGAATAACCACAACTTCTCCGTACTTTGGACCGTTATTGATGTCCGGGTCCTTCCACAGTGTGATTTCTTCCGCCTTTGGTACTTTACCGGGTCGGTGCAAACGTGTCAGTCCGTCCGCGTTGTCGTGTCTCTCCGTTTTTCGATGAGCAATGTCAAATTCATACTCTTGCAACCGCACTACCCATCGTTCGATCATGCCCGTGTAGTTGGTTAGCTTTTTCAGAGCCAACAGAGGTTCATGGTCGGTGACGAGAAGAAACTTTTGACCGTACAAATACGGGTGGAAGTGCTGGATACCCCACACTACCGCATAACATTCTCCTTGTGGCGGGGAATCGTTTCGTCGCTCGTCTAGCACCGTCCGGGAGGCGTACTCGATGACATGCTCCTTCCCATCGTTTCCCTTCTGTGCCAGAATGGCCGAGATAGTCTCCGGCTGCCAATCGGTGATGAGAATAAACTGCCGAGAGAGATCCGGTCGAATCAGAATCGGGGCCGTGACGAGAGCATCCTTCAGGGCCCCGAAGGCCTGGTCGCACTCGTCATCCCAATGAAGGGGCTGTTCTTTTCGCAGCAGGTTTGTCAGAGGCCTTGCTATAGCCGCAAACCCCTTGATGAACCACCGGTAATACGAGGCCAGGCCCAAGAAGGCTGGAACCTGCGTCAGTGAGGTCGGAACCAGGGCCTCTTTGACCGCCGTGACTTTTCGAGAGTCCGGTCGCAGGCCTCCTCGTGTCACCACATACCCCAAGAACGAGATTCCCGAGAGGAAAAACTAGCTCTTTTCCAGCGCAATCTTGAAACTTGCGTCTCTCAACGCACCCAACGTCCATTCGATGTGTTGCGCGTGTCCGTGAAACGTGTCCCAGTACACCAGAATGTCATCCATGTACACAATGACGCAGAAGTTAATCATCCCCTGAGTCAGCCGTGTCTTATTGACGAAATTCTGAAAAGTCACGTTCATCGCCCTCTGAAACGTGGCAGGCGCATTGCAGATTCTCATCGGGCACCGAACCCACTGCCACGTGCCTTCAAACAAAACGAAGGCGGTCTTGGGCCGATCTTCTTCCTTCACCAAGATATGATGATACCCATGCCGAATGTCGAACTTGCAGAAGTAGTTAGCACATCCGATCGCATCAAGCAGATCATCAATCCGAGGAAGGGGATACACATCTTTAATCGTGATATCATTTAGCTTTCGATAATCGATGCATATGCGGACTGACCCGTTTTTTTTAGGAACCAATACAACTGGGAACGACCAGGGACCGGTGGCAGGCTCAATCCATCCGTTTGCCTCAAATTACCTAATTCGCTGCAAGGCCGTCTTGCGCTCTGTCAACTACTATCAGTACGGCTTGCAGTGGATCGGGGAATGATTCCCGGTTTGAATCTCATGCTGAACGACCACAGATAACCCAATATCGGCATCGGACACGCTAATCGCCCCTTGATACTCTATTAAAATATCAGCGATCAGCCGATGGATCTCATCAGGTACATTCTGGGGCACATGCAATTCATACATTTGATCCAAAATCCGAACGTTAACCTGCTTCGTGTGTATACGCCGAGTAGTGTCGGGCGGTGCAGACATAAAAGAGTGATCCAATCTCCAAGAAAACACAGTGGTCACCATCTGTGTTTCCTCCTCCCTGATCGTTGTATGACCTTCGGGGGTTATCCCGTCGCAGATGTCTCGCCAGGGCACGCTTTTGGGCGAGATTTTGATCCCGAGTTCATCGGATCTTGCCTCGATGCACTGAGGGGGTTCCAAAGAACCTGCTTCGGCTCCCAAATGCAACAACTGAGCCTCTTTTGCGGGCTGAAGCAAGGATCGAGGTAAGTTAGTGAGATCACAAAAGGAACGTTTGTCACTATACCGAAGGAGAAGGGGAGATACGCCTTCGTACAGGGTCAAAGGGGGTTCCAAGGAATCAACCAGCCTCGAAATCTGTACGAGGGGTTCTCCCATGATCATCATATGAGCATTCCGTGCGGTTAGATGCATGGTACGCGCAATAGTGCGAGGCGGTGGGTAGAGAATCCGCTGCCGTACTAACCGTGTAACGACTGGATCGTCATCGTCGTCGCTCCCCCCGTCGTTCGATGATTGGCCTCCGTCCACAGGTGCACTCCAAGAGACCATGCGGAGCGCTCCCATTGTTTCCGGAGAAATTCGGGGTACTATCTTAACCGACGTTCGAAGAGTTAGTCTCATGGGTATTACATACGGCTTTCCCCCGGTATTCCGGAGAATGACGGATCGGCGTTCGAAGCCTACATTAGCACGCAGCGCCACCAATGCAGGAAGCCCGAAAAGAACGTCATACGTATTCACATCCAGCACCACAACATCCCCTAGAACATGCACTTTCCCAATCGGAACGCGACATTCGTCATTCGTCCAACTGTCTTGATCTTCTCCTCGTCAGCCAATACGAGCTGGTCCTTCTCGGTTAGCATAATCAAATCATTCTTCCTACCCGCTCTCTCGACTACTTGGAGTGATATCGCTAGGACAGCCGCTCCCGAATCTATGATCGCACTATACGGCACTCCCCAGACTTCAATATCACATTCGGCTGACTTCCACGGAATCGGCTTGATCCGAAGAAAGTGGTCATCTTTCTGTATCAATCCGACTCGGATGGGGTCAGGGGCGACGTCCGCCTTTTCCTCCGAAGTCGCCGCCTTCGCCTTCTGATCTTTGCGCGTGCAAGGGCGAATCGCTTCCGGTTCGCTTTGCAATGCTGCATCATACGTTCGTTCGCCTGTTCCGAAATGGAGAGTAGGTGGCCGATTGGGAGGGGGATTCGATGATCCAGTGCTCGGGTAACCTCGAGAACATCGATTTCCCCTGTAACAAAGGTAGGGCTTCCCGTCTCCATTTCGCTCGATGAAGGCCGCCATTCGGCGACATCTCTGGACTCGAGTTCCGGTCGAATTGTCCCAATCATTCCCAGCCCCGGGTATCCTAGTGATACATACTGCTCCAGCGGGATAAGCTCGGTTGCTTCCTCACTGGAAATCATCATTCCATTACTCCCCCCCTGATCATCCATCACGGCTCCTACACGTCCCGGGCCGTTAGCTATGGGGGCTGCAGCTGCACGCGCGACCCCGGTTCGATGTTGCATGGCCCGATGGGGGCAATCTCGGGCCAAGTGTCCCGGTTGATAACATGTAAAACAGGCATTTGCCGCTGTCCCGGCTGGCCCCGCTGCAACGTGTGCAGCAGCCATGCCTCCCTGCATTGGTGCTCGCACCGCAATGGGTCGCATATTCCGCATCATAGCTTCTAATCGGGCGTTGTGCTCTCGCTGTTCCTTCTTGCTTTCTTGGATTAGACTAACCAATGTTCTAGTTAGCTCCAAGATAGCAGTAGACTCATTCGCTCTTGCGGGTGACTCGATGGTGGGTGGCGGTGGAGGTGGCTGAGTTATGGTTGGGGACGCCATTACCGGGATCTGCTTGTTTACAGTCGCTCCATATGGTGCGGTCCTCGATGTCACCTGTTCTACATACGTAACGGGTCCGGCTACGAATCCCATGTTTTCGAATTTGTTTTGCAGTGCGGCCAGTTCCGCCCTTGCTTTCACAAGTTCTACCGAGTCTCCTTCTCTACCATAATCCTCATTTTCTAAGAAGCTAGCTGCGAACTTCCGCTCCATTTCTTCGGCAGCGTCCATAATTTGTTGCAGCGTGTGGTTAATGGGAGAGAAGTTTTTACGTAGCTTCCCTTGAATCGTTCTGTTACGTAGTCCATCAATGAACAGGTCCCGGCCTACCTACTCGCCTCGCTCAGTCTTTACAAACATTCGATGAAATTTGTTCCGATACTCGGTAATGGATTCGAGTGGTTTCTGGACTCGATCCTTGATCATATAGAGTGCTTATTCGGGGTGAACATAATCGAAGTGGTTCATGAAATCCCGCTCGAATGTGGGAAGATCCACCCATACATAAGTGTTATACCAATGATGGGCGTCCCCTCCCATCCGCGCGGGGATGTTGATCTGAGCTTCATCGTTCGTATACCGCTGAGCTCGGAGCGTGGCTAACCATGCTCCAGCGAGATGGTGGGATGGATCAAATAAATAAAGATCTGGTGGAGCCGTAGGGGCTCGTGCAGGCGGCGCAGGCGGGTTAGGCTGTTGGTTGGGGTTGACCACCGCAGGGGCTGCTGCAGCAACGGCCGCAGCCATGGCGCCTGCTCGCCTTGTGGCGGACGTTCGGCTTCGTGTACCTACAGGACTACGTCGGCGTATATCCCCAGCTGAAGGGCGCCTACGTGGAGCCAGATCGCCTCGCCTTAGCCAATATTGAGTCTACAGACCCTATCGCTTAACCACGTGTCGGGCTCCGATACCAACCTCACGCCCGACGCGACTTCCTGATCGGAGTGGGATGGGGGGGGGCCCTGGAAGTGCGAAGAGGGGTGTGCCAAGGATTTTTGGGAAAATGGGGGTTGAAGTCCCAGGTCGGAACTGGGATCTTCTGTGGCCGAGTTCAGGGGCAGAGATGCAATAGAGCAATGGGAAAATTTACGGGCGCGGGCTTGCACGCTGGTTGTGCGGGRCCGTCCGATCCTGACSTGATCGCCAGTTCTRGGGAGCCTGTYGAGGCGGTCYTTGGGGCCCACGCCTTCGGGGTCCGCCACGTGGCGTGGGTTGGTGGGAACTATGCCTAGGTRTCGAGGCTCCGGGGKTTCGRGTATGGGCACGTCGCCTGCAACTTCTGCGCGGGGTGGAGGGCCAATAAGGCGCTATGGAATTCCACGGTACTACTGTAAGCTGATGATAGGGGAGGAGGAGGTGGTATGGCGGGAAATTAGTGGCGATAAGGACGAAGCCGGGGGTTATGAAATACTGYGTGTTGTACGTGCTTGGGTRGTTGGGTATCCGTGGGTCGCTTCGTACGGYGAGATGGAATTCCCTAGCGCAKAATCTATCSTTTTCCRTGAGGCAGGGGAACACCGRGTTTCTCAAATTTCCCCGTAATCGGAGTTGCTCTTCTTCCTAGATTTCCMGGTATCCGAWATACGACTCGTAATCCTCGRAATTCCAAGATACGTCGGARCTCCGCKAGCTCRTCATTCTTTCATCACTCACGCCTTGGGGRATAAGTTAGTCGGGGAGATCACCGCTCGTAAGTGCGTAWGAGAGATGYRAACAAGTYGCACTTACGCRCACTTACGCGTGATGGGTAACCCGATCCYGGTTGACGTCGACTCCTACTTCAGTGAGGGGCTGACTACGGGCGTTAGCCAAGACGCGATTGGCGRGTCCGAGTGGTATGGAMACATGTMAGYCGCGCTCCRTTCGGATCGCACTTGCAGGTGCCCATATGGCACGTCGGATGGTGCGCTCCAGACTACCCRTAAGATTCRACAAGCCAACACACTYTACTGATCACGCCAACATGCAATCCCCATTYTCATTCATCATGTACGAGGGTTCGAAGGGAAACGATCAAAAACGAAAATGCGAAGGTGCGCGAACCATCCATACATCATTTGCAAAAGAGGATTCCGGAGAAGGAACGAAAAAGGAGAAAACATCGATACAAAAAAAAAAAGAATCAAATCGAACAACAGGACGAGTATATGGCCGCAAAGACAAGGGCGAGTTGCCCGTAATGGACACCAAAATTTATATACACAGATAAAAAAAAGGGCCGAAAAGAAAAGCACAAATCCTCAACCTCAACTCTCTCTCCTCTCTCTCTCTCTCCGATGCCGACAGTCCGTCGTCGCGGACCAACACATGGAGCCGTCACCCCGCTTAGTCCTCCTGCGCCCGTCACGTTCGCTCCGCGCCCACAGTCCGTCGTGGCCCGCGTCAACCCCGCGCATTCGGCACCAGCTCGTCGGGTCGCCCGACTCCCACTTCACTCACCTCTTACTTCGCTCGTGTGCCGACCCTCTTGATCGCGCAACCCCGAGCTTCCAGCAATTGTTAAGAGAGAAAGTTAATCGCGCAGCCAGAATTTATAGCGTGTATGCATGCGCGAAGAACACGGAATTACAAGGACGTAGATAGATGGGAGAAAGGGAGTGCATACGTTTGCACGGTCGGGCCGCGGCGTGGGGGATGTACCCAACTCCACACATCGATCCGAACATGCAAACGCGGCTACCCAGCTAGGGAGGGGAGAGAGGAAGAAACGAGGCGGGAAGAATAAGAAGCAAGAAACAGAAAGATAAAGTTACAAAAGTGTGCGCCCAAAATTACAGTTGCAAAAGGATTAAGGCGCCAATCAATCAAGGTCCTGGCGCAGCAGCAAGAAAGAGCGCGCGAACACGCAAAGCAGCGCCCCAGAAAAACAGAAATTCCAAAATTCCAAAATTCCTAGCTAGCCTGTCGATGAAAAGGTCCGAAAAAGAAAATCAAAATTCCGAAGGTCGTATGGCTCCGACCAAGATTCGAAAAGAAAATTCAAGAAGGAAATTCTAAAAGAGACACCGAAATTCCCGCGCGATGTCTGCGCGCCCTAAAGTTCGACAAAACAAAATTAAAAGAAGGGAAACGAAAGAAAAGAAGCGACGTCAATGTTTATTAATCGCGCACTCGGCGCGCACTCCGCATCCATCCGACCAAGTTTTACCCCCTTTTCCCCGTGCATTCCCGAATTGTCCCCAATTGTCATCAGGGGCTCGTGCACGAACGAAGAAACAACGAAGAAATCAAGGACACACATGCAATTTTCCATCAACCCGTCCAATCGACGTGGGACCCCGCTTAGCACTTCGCGCAGAAAGTC